CCATTACTCTTTAAACTCATCAAGGAAATTGAAAGGGAAGCAAGTTTTCCAAATTCATTCCTGGAAGCAAGTGTTACTTTGATTCCAAAATCAGGCAAGGACCCAACCCAAACAGAACTACAGACCAAAATCTCCCTAATGAAGATAGATGCAAAAATCCTCAAAAAGATATTGGCAAACAGAATACAGAGTGTCATCAAGAAGATCATACACCCTGACCAAGTTGGATTTATCCCAGGGATGCAAGGATGGTTCACCATCCATAAACCACTAAATGTAATACACTATATTAACAGAGTCAAGGACACAAACCATATGATCATCTCAATTGATGCAAAAAAGGCATTCAACAAAATCCAACACCCATTCATGATAAAAATCCTACAGAAAATTGGAATTGAAGGTCTTTATCTCAACCTGTTTAAGCCTATCTATGAAAAACCAACAGCCAACATCATATTAAATGGTCAAAAATTGAAAACTTTCACTCTAAAATCAGGAATAAGACAAGGATACCCACTATCACCACTCCTGTTCAATATTGTTCTGGAAACATTAGGCATAACAATTAGAAAAGAGAAAGAAATAAAAGGAATAAAGATAGGAAAGGAAGAAGTTAAACTGTCATAATTTGCTGATGATATGATATTTTACATAGAAGACCCAAAAAACTTGATCAAAAGTCTTCTAGACCTAATTGACAGATTCAGTAGAGTGGCTGGATGCAAGCTCAGCACTCAAAAAAAAATAGTCTTCTTATACGTGAATAGCAGACTCATTGAGAGAGAAATTTGGGAAATAATTCCTTTTACAATAGCATCTAAAAAAATGAAATATCTAGGAATCAACCTAACAAATGGAGCAAAAGATCTCTACACAGAAAACTACAGCACTCTGAAGAAGGAGATTGAAGAGGATATCAGAAAAGGGAAAGACATCTCTTGTTCCTGGGTAGGAAGAACCAATATAGTGAAAATGGCCATACTTTCAAAACTACTATATAGATTTAATGCAATGCCCATTGAAATTCCAACAATATACTTCACAGAACTAGAGAA